AGGAGGCTGATGAAGATTAATGGCTATTAAAAATACCTTGAAGCTACTCGTAGAATTATATCGGCCACACATGGTATTCTCCTTTTCTCCAAAGCTCAAAGAGCTAGCCAACTTATTTTCAAACACTTCAAAGAGGGTACAATTCCTTTTATTAGCAAAATAAGACAAACAGGCTTTCATCATCTGAATCAGATTCTCCTACTAAACATTCCTAATTCCTGATTCTTTTTTTTTTTTTTGGCACTGGGGATCGAACTTGGAACTTTGTGCTTGCAAGGCAGGCAGTGGAACCACTGAGCTAAACCCCCAGCCCTCCTAATTCCTAAATGTCACTGAGATAGTGACATCTAAGTAAGATCAGCATTCAATATAAAATATCAGTTCTCCTTTCTAATGCCTCCATTTCTGATACTCATTGCTACAGTTTTTCCTCTATCTTTCTCACTGTGTATTCATTAAACAGCAGCAGAGTAAACCAAAATACTAATTTAACCCAGTGTGTATGTCAGAATATTTGTTATACTATATTTTACTGAACATACCATGAATCTGTTTATAAAAAAAGACATCAGTAACATACTAAGAATATAAATTAACAAAGAGAAATACACATATTTGGCATCTGGCTCTCTAGCTAAAAACCATCATAAAACCCAATGAAGTAATTACCTCCTAGTAACTATAGATTCTTTGTAAAGAAGGTTACAACTGATCAATATAGAGGCCCCTTACTACATTGTTTTTGGAAGCTTTATTCAGAAAAAAGCAAAGTTGTTCATAAAAAGTGGTTAGAATCATTGTTGCTTAGCTCACAAAGTTATTTCATGTCCAAGCAACTGAGTAAAAAAATCTAGTCCTTTGGAGTAGCAATGACCAATCACAAACTTGATGAGCCTCTTGGAAAAATGCCCTGGCAGCACTGCCAATGTGGGCCTGCTTCCTAGATAACATGGAAACAGACTATGAACTAAAATGTATGCTACCCTTGATTTCAGATTCAAACTCAGGGTCTGACAGCCACTGATATTTTATAGTCATGAAATCAGATCACCAGTATTAAACTGGATTTGTATATTCAAAAATAGGGCCGGGGACTTAGCTCAGTGGTTCCAGTGCCTGCCTCAAAAGCGCAAGGTCCCAAGTTCGATCCCTGGTACCGTACCAGGAAAAAATAATAATAATAATAATACGAGCAAATCTTATCACTCACATCAAAAATTACAGACCACTAACAGATGAGGTGGTCCACACCTATAATCCGAGACCTTGGGAGGCTGAGGCAGGAGGATTGCTGTGAATTCTTGGCCAAATTGTTACACAATGAGTTCAAGGCCAGCCTAGTATACATAGTGATACCCAGTCTCTCTCTCCCAATCAATCAATATTATAGACTACTACTCTGGGAAGCTGAGACAGGAGGTTTGGAAGTTACTGGACAGGACAATTTAGTAACTTAATGATAACCTATTGCAAAAAAAATTCACAGACCACATATTTTAGATCACAATCTGATGGTAAGCATATCAAAGTGCCTGCAGAGAATTCAAGAATCCTATATCTTTTAGGGAATGTTCCAGACAAGCTTAACTCTGTAGCTTTCTTAGGAATAGGAGGAAGGAAATCAAATAACATATTAAGCACACTATCTCTCATAATATGAATTTGTCTAAAACTAAGATGATAAACTAAGGGACAAGATAGAAAGCTAGTTATTTAATTTAATTTTTGAAATTATTAAATTCAAGGTACACACAAGAAAACATCACACTAGTAAAATTTAAATTTGGGGCACAAAGCCAACAAAAGATAATAACAGAAAAAATACATAGGTCATATCTCAACAAAACACAGCTTGTCTTTCTATCAGAGGAACTAGAGTAATTTCAAATCATTTGGTAGTTTCGATATTGCTTAAAAGTGTCTAAGGAAAAAAGGTTATAAGATAAAGGTACTTTTAAATAAGAAAACAGGAAGATTTGTATATTTTTTATCAATATATAAGATATGATATCATTTTATGTGCTGAGAATAAGCCTATTTTTTTCTTTCCTTTCTCTGTCTCTATTGTGACAGTGTCTATGTTATGCAGGGTGGCTGTCAAATTCCTAGTCTCATGCATTCCCCCAACCTCAGCCTCTCTAGCACCTGGGGACTGCAGTACATGCCATTTCATCCAGCCAAGGGTAAATCTACTTTAAAACATGTTTGGCTGGCCATAGTGGCGCACACCTATATTCCCAGGCAGAAGGATCATTAATTCAAGGCCAGCCTGGGGAATGTACCATCTCAAAAAATAAAAGGGCTGCATATGTATTGTAGTGGGAGAGTGCTTGCCTAGCATGCACAAGGCCTTGGGAAACAAACATGTATTTTTGTTCCCCCAGTACTAGGGAACATGTTTGCTCCCTATATCTTCTATTTGAACACAATAAATACAATTTGGATGCTCAACAAATATTAAGAATGTATTAGCTGGGTGTGGTGCTGCATGCCTGTAATCCTAGCACTTGGGAGGCTGAGGCAGGAAGATTTCCATGAGTTTGAGGTCAGCTCAAAGTGAAATCAGTAGTGATTTCAAGGCCAGCCTAAGCAAGACCCTGTCTCAAAAAAACAAAGAATATACTAGCCATTAGCCCATAGAAATAGAAGATATACAGAAAGCAAGCAGAGATCTACCCAAAAGATTTCTTCTATTAGCTTGGTCTGTTTGCAGACAGTTAGAGTTTCCAAGCACTAAACAACAACTGGTAGATTTTTTAGCTCCGTGTAGAATTGAAAACCAAGAGTTTTCTTATCCTAGCACTAGCCCCACTTATAAGACATTTATAACTTAAATTCTTTTAACAAACAACCAGTTAAAGAAAACTCAACTGGTTAGCCCTATTAATGAAGTTCAAAGAAAACTCAAAGCAAAACAAACCAAAAACCTAACAGCTTCCTTCTAAAGAGGTCACTTTTCCCCACACTTCAAATTATCATTACATGGAACATACTTAAGGTAAGAACTGAAAACATTCAGGAAGAATATATATGTCAACTATGGATGGAACTGTATGATCAAAGCATGGATTACTAAGTGGTTCCATTTAGCTGGAGAATGTAAGAAATAAAAAAAATAAAGGATAAAAGGTAAAATTTTTTTAAAAGAAGAAGAAAAGGTAAATTGGGCCATAATGCCAAGAACTTACATGTAAGACATTTGATATAAACAGTGGTATAATACTGAAAGAATTTGGATGAGGCCTAAAGATTTAAAACATGTACTTCAAGCCTGAATTCAATTATACAAGGAAAAAAGACTCAGAATGTTAGTACACTGAACTTGAGTCCACTAATGATTTTACTTTTAATAGTGACCAAGATATACTATAATCATTTCTTCAAGGACATAAATAATGCCAAGTTTTACCTTAATTATAAACTTCTGGTAGAAAACACTCTGAATTAGTACTTCAATTCTAACACAATCTGATATTCAGCTATTCCTTTTTTTTTTTTTTTTTTTTTTGGTGCTGGGTATCCAACCCAAGGCACTACCACTCAGCTACATCACCAGCCTTATATCAAGTTTTTAAATCCGCCACTTATTCTGTTATGTATTCTACATGAAACATGTTAGTAATACCCCCATAACTCATTTATTAAATCAAAACTTTTACATCTGGCAAAGAATTCACTGTCTCAATTTACAAAGCAGGAAAACAAAGAGTTATCAAGTCTCCTTAAAAAGGGTTAATTCCACACTAACAAAACTGGGGTGAGAAGAATCACCTTAACGATGTGTATCTTCCTTGAGTAAAAGGATCAAATGAACTAAAAATTTTCGCCAAGACTAAGAATACAAAAAACAGTAATGAGCAACAGCATTGAGTACAGTATATCCTGAAGAGAATATAAATCCACTTAATATCTAAGACACAAAGCATACCATTTTTTGCAATTTTCCCTAAAAACAGAAGGAACAAAATAGCAGCTGTGAAATCACTCAGACTACTAAAAAAAAGCTCTGCATTTCTTAAAAAAGAAGAAAGGGGTGGGGGGACTACCTCCTAATCAGCAACACATGCTAAAAACCACCTCTCCACAGACGAGTCATTTACGGTAGGGTACAGTTATCGAAACAACAGGATGACAGTCACTATCGTGTGGCCAGAAACCAATCCGTCAGCAATTTGTTTCACGTGAGATCACTTTCTCAAGAGAATGCCAGTTCCTGGGGAGAACGACCCTGGGGGCAGGGGTTCTGCCTAGGAATAAAGGCTTGGTGACCCTGGATCCAGTCCCTCCACAGGTACAGCAGCCCAGCAAGCATGAGGAAATATTTCCAAGCTGACAGATGCGCGAACTGAAAAAGGAGGTCACGATGCTGAGAGAATAGATTTAACCCTTTGCTCACTGGGAATTCTGAAGACTAAGGGGGAAACCGTTGGATCCCTTGGGTTTGCAGATTTTTTTTCTTTCTTTCTTTTTTATGATGATGCAGGTGTCGGTGTGGGAAGGCCTGGAAGCGCTGCGAGACTCCCTCCACCTCCGATGCCGCCTGACTTCTCCAGACAGCCCAGCAGCACCCTCGTCACTGGGAAATCGCTCCGCAGCTGCCCCCATACCTTCGCCGTCGGAAACCTGCAACACCCTCCCCCATCTGCTGTCCTTCTAAGGGTCCTGGCCACCGTACCAGGACTGACAGGTCAGGAGAGACCGATTTCCCCTCGACAGAAACACACCCTGCGCCCAACTTCGAAGTGCTGCCCTGGCGCGCCCCCTGCCCCTTCCTCCGCCGCCCTTCGCGCCTCAGGCCGCGTCCCGGCTCCAGCCCTCGGCGCTCCCGCACGCGGAGGAGGCTCCTCGGCCAGAGAGCCCGAGCCCCCGGCCCGGGGCCTGCGGGGGTCTGAAGACAAAGAGGCTGCGGCGCCGCCGAGGCCGCCAGGACCTTACCCTCGAGGACAGCGTCGCGCCCCCCACCCCCTGGCTCGCGCGCCGCCGCCGCCTCCTCGCCTCACCGGTAGCTCCCGGGCCCGGGCTCCTGCCCCGGTCGCTGCTACAGCCGGATGAACAATGGCAGGAGGCGGCGCCGGAGTCCGAGGCTCGGGCCCTCTGCGGCTCGCAGGCCCGCCAGCTGCTGGCTGACTGACTAAACACACTGGCAGAGAGAGAGAGAGGGAGCCAGCGAGCTAGCAGCCCTGGCGCGCGCCCTCCCGCCTTTCCTCCGTGAGGCGAGGTCGGCACGGCCCACAGCCCGCCCGAGCGCTCGCGAGCCCCTCCCCCTCCGCTCGCCACAACATTGTAGTAAATTTCTATTGGGCCGCGCGGGAGGGAAGGAGTGGGCCGGGCCCGCGGCCCGTCACCCCATTGGCTGAGGCCGAGTTCGGGTTCATCTCCTCCCCGCCACCTCCCCTAGGGGGGCAAAGGAGAGCGAAGGGGAAGGAAAGAGGGGGAAAGGCGAGGGGTTGGCCGCTGTGCGCACGCGCACGTCGAACTCTGTGTGCCCCCGGGTTCCTGGCTACAGCGGCATCCACGTGGAGAAGGTGGCGGCTAATGCCCAAGACCCAGGTGAGGCCTTTTCCTCTCAGAGGAGGGCCAGGTAAGAGGCCAAAATTTGTAAGCCCCAGGGAAAGGAGAACTCACGTATGGGCTGCTGCCAACTTCCCCAACAGGCTACCCCGTAATGCACCTAGTAACCTCGGGTAAGTCACTCAGCGTCTCTGGGCCTCAGTTTCCCCATCTACTAGCTTGAGCATCTCCAGGTGCCCTCCCAGCCCTGACTCGTCACTGGGAAAAAGCATTACCTTTCCTGGCAGCTCCGTAAAGCCTGCAATGTAAGCTAAGTGAGGGGACCACGCCAAGATTTCACCTGTCTCCTGCATTTAGGAGTCTCCTAATTCCACCCTGGTACCCTCAAAATCATTAAAAAAAAAAAAAAAAAAAAGCTTCCAAGATTTAGTCTCCAGATGAATTTTTAGGGTTGCTCTGATAATTGCTTCGTGTGCATTCATTGCCCTTCACAAATTTCAAAGGCTCCTTGGCCCTTCCTATTCCCTGCCAGGATGATCTCCACAGACCAGGAAGAAGGCTGTTTTAAACGTGATACCCAGAAGGTAAGATAAGTTCTCGTATTTCTTTCTTTTTTTTTTTTTTGGTACCAGGGATCAAACTCAGGACCTTGCAGTTGCGAGGCAGGCGGCGGAACCACTGAGCTAAATCCCCGGCCCCTGGTATTTCATTTTTGAAATGAGGAAACTGAAGCAGAGGCTTACACTTGCCAGGATAAGAAGCCAGGCAATCTGACATCAGAGCCTGCACATGCCAGCTACACTGTCCCTGGTATCTAATCACAGCCCTTTCACAGTCTCAGCTCAGCCTCAGTATCAGATTGAGTTCACTGCTCAATCTCCAGCCCTTACTAATGGCCTTCTCTGAGCCTCAGTTTCTGACCCCATAAAATGGATAATAATAGTTCCTACCTCACTGTAAGAACTAAATTAAAGTATGTAAGGGGCTTAGAACAGTACCTAGCACAAAGTAAGATCTCTGTAATTGTTAATTATTACTACTGTTTGGAGACTAAAATATGGACTAAGAGGTGTGCAAGTGGCTGATTTAATAATATAATTGTTAATCACACAATTGCTGTCAGCTCTGAGGTGAGCACATTATATATCTGTTTGAAACATTGAGGACCACCTGACTAATAAACTCCACTGGCACACCCCTGCCCTACTTTAATCCTGGCACTTTTAATAACACCCCCTCTGACTTTCTACTATTTATTTATTTATTGTCTCTAAAATATATTGTTGCAATCTAGACTGGCAAGATTTCAAGCTCAGGAGGACAGGGACTTTGTCCTTCTTGTTGATCTTCCAGAACAGTGCACACATAATAGATATTTATTAAACAAATAAATGAATTGATTACATTTTTTAAATAAGGAAACTGACGCTTAATGAGTTCAGGTAACTTTGACCAGGGTCATTCTGCGTACTACGGATAAAACACCTGTTTTAAATAAACTGATCCCCTGCTTCAAGTCCTCAGGTTCAGCTCTGCTTTTGATTCAGGGAGCTCTAGTCCTACCACTTCTTGGCCTCAGAGGCTTCCTACCCCTATCAGACAGAGAAATCTGCTACTATGAAGGATGAATATTTAAGATCAATCACCAGGCAGCTCACCACTTCCACTACCTCTCTGTTACCCACCAAATTCATATACATGAACATTAGTATCCTCTATGCCTTAAAGTACTAGCCAATGGCATTTAATATTTAAAGATGCTTGGTTAGAAGCACAGAATGTATAGCTTTAATAATCATCACCCTGGCCAGGCGTAGTGGTATACATCCATAATCCCAGCACTCAAGACTGAGGCAGAATTGCCACAAGTTCAAGGCCAGCCTGAACTACATAGCAAGACTCTGTGAGAGAGAGAGAGAGAGAGAGAGCAAGAGCAAGCTGTCACCACCTTGAAAATAAGCAGAGGTCTCAGGCTAGCAGGAAAAGGCTAGATGCAAACTACTCTCCGTGCCATGTACTATCACACCAAAATACGTTGACCCAGGCTTTAGAATCTCAGTCCTGAATCCTGGGTTGGCTTTTAATTCTTGGAGATGAAAGGCTTTGTAAACTGTAAAGTACTATCCACACATAAGGGATTTTTGTTATTAATTACACACCATCACCTGTTAGGCTAAGTGCCCTATAGCTGGAACCATCTCCTATTAAAGGCTGGGGTTATAAATCATCCAATCTGAAGAAGAAAACCTACCCTCACTCCTATACTCATACTCCACCTCAGATTTCTGCAAACCAGATATCCAGTCCCAGCTCACCCTACAGAGGCTGACATTGGGTACAAGGGTAAAGGCCCCAAGCACTACCTCCGAGGCTAATTTCTTAGGCAGAAACAGCTCCACTCTATGCTCACATTTGGGTGGCGGGTGTGCCATGCTGCAAGGCCCAGGATGGGGTCCCTAGAGGCCATCTCTATCCCGCCTGCCAGCTGAGCCTGCCACTACTTCCCCCATCACCCCTCCTGTTTCTTCCTAGGGAATACAGACCCTGCTAGCTGCCTGTTCGCCCCTGGAGCAGTCAAGGGCACTAAGCAAAAGAAAAAGAGACAGCATGAAAGAGTTTTAATCCTTCCCCACTGCAAACTGAGCCCCAGCAAAAGCAAACACCAGCTGCAAGCAAAAGGGTGAAATTAGATGGCAAAATTAGTGGGGAAGGGTCAGGGAGGGTAGATGAGGGCTCTGACAACCTGGAAGAGATGAGATTGAAAGCAAGAGGGGGTAGAGTGGGGAAACAGTTGGAGCCCGAACCATACCCAAATCTGGGATGTGGGCGGATTAAGGACACAGCTGGCCTGAAGCCCCAATAATGGAGCTCATAGAAAACGTTTGTCTGTTGTGGAGGACAGCAAGCGATGAAGAGGGCTTTGAAAAGCTAGGCCCATCAGCAACGTGTTCTGAACAGTCACTACTGAATAAAAACTACCCTGGTACCAAAAGTGCATGAAGAGGTAGAGCTTTACATTCTGCCCACAATTGTACAATGGCAGTCCTGTAGACCATTTAAACACAAATGATAAACAAGGTATTAGGGAATAAGAATTACTGGTCACACAGTGGAATGCCTTCCTAGGGGATTATTTTTATTAGGAGTATTTGAATTATTCAATAAAATTCTGGAAAATAAAGTTAAATAAGAATATAGTTAAGTAAAAATCGCAAACCATCCTAAAGATGCCAATCAGAAATAACTACCAAGGCCAAGAATGTGGCTCAGCAGCACAGAGCCTGCCTGGCAAGCATGAGGCCCTGAGTTTGATTCCCAGTACCAAAAGAAAAAAGAAAAAAACAAAAGACTACCGTAACTGTTTTGGTGGGAAACCTTCCCTTCTCGTAATTTTTATTATAGATATACTTTTTAACGTATATATATTAAATCATATGAAATTGCTGATTTGCTAGGTTAAATATGATCAAATATCAGCAATGTCACATGTTTCAATCTAATGTTTATTTTTTTAATTTAGACCATATTGTTTTGGAACTGACTTTTTTCACTTAATATATTTAACACCTGCATTACCTTTTTTTTTTTGTTTTGGTACCGGGGATCGAACTCGGGACCTTGGGCTTTCAAGGCAGGTGCCGGAACCACTGAGCTAAATCCCTGGCCTCAGATGTGTGCTTTTATACAATACCTTATGTTTTGTATTTGAAAACACAGAACATGTTTTGGCCTCTTTGATAGAATACATTTCTCTTCAAAAACTCTCTTAAGCCGGGGATTTAGCTCAGTGGTTTCGCCACCTGCCTAGCAAGCTCAAGGACACGAGTTCGATCCCCGGTATCAAAAACAAAACAAAAAACAAAAACAAAAAACTCTCTTAAGGAGTTCTTATGTACAATAAAGCCACAATAAATCTATACATTGAGGCTTTCAAGGAGACACTCCAAGAAAGAAGAGGCAATAGGGAAGGAAGTTAAAATTATAAAAGAATGGCCGGGGATTTAGCTCTGTGGTTCCGGCGCCTGCCTCACAAGCACAAGGTCCCGAGTTCAATCTCCGGTACCAAAAATAAATAAATAATAAATAAAATAAAATTATAAAAGAAGATCCAATGGACAATTGATAAGATATTCCTTTAAGTCTCTAGATTCACCAAATGCTAAAACTGGTTAGGCCCTTAGAGATCATCAAGCCCAAGCTGCTGACTTTTAAATGGATAGGAAGCTGAGCATGGTGGCACATGCCTGTAATCGCAGCACTCTGGGAGGCTGAGGCAGGAGGATCGACCCAAGTACAAGGTCAGCCCGAACTACATAGTGAGACCCTGTACACACACACACACACACACACACACACACACACACACACAAACGTGGAAATCCAGAGACTAGAAGAAGGCATTTGCCCAAGGTCACACAACATAGTGGTAGCACAGCCCAAACTAAAACCCAGATCTTCCAACCTTTATAATAGGATTCTGTTCACAGCCTTTAAGTCAAGCTACATTTATTCTCCAAAGCTAGAGACCAAGCTAAATCCTACAACCATAACCCCTAGGAATAACTGAGCTGGAGGAGACTGTAAGATAATTTACTGTTAAAAATAGTAACAACTGGAGGTGGAGATGTAGCTCAGAGGTAGAATGAGCATGTGCAAGGCCCTGCATTTGATCCCTAGCACTAAAAAAGAAAATCTA